TCTTCGACTGGCCTCTCCGATCTGGGGCGATATTGATTTCGGGCGCGGCCTGGGCTCTCCACTGGGACCGCGCCCCCCTCTCCCAGGGGGGGGGCGGGCCCGATTACCGTCGTTGCACCCTACCCGGCCACGCGCAGAAGGGGGGAAGGGGATTGGGGAAGGGTTCTCAGATCAGGTGGAAAAGAAACACACAGACACAATTAATTCTCGATTCCCCAGAAAATATCGGAAAACATGGGAAGTGGGGGGGAAGACAGAAACCAAGAAAACATGGGAAAATATGGGGCATATTTTTATTTGTGTATTTATTTAATCGCTTCGCTCATTCCGCCGGCCCGTATTGTGCCATCGCAGGCGTTTGCTTGCGCGTTCGTGGCCTCTTGGAGCCTCGGTGGGGCCGTTTGGGGCCTCTTGGCGCCTCTTTTTAGGCCTCTTGGAGAACTCGGGAGGCCTCCAGGGGGCCTCCTGAGCTCTCGTGACGGTCTCTTGGGGGGCTTTCGGCGGGCTCTTTGCGGTATTTGTTGGTCCTCTTGGGGCCTGGGGCCTGACGTTGTTGGTCCTCTTGGGGCCTCATGGGAGCTTATTGGGGCGTCTTGGGGGTGTCTTGGAGAGTCTCTTGGGGCCTCTTTCGGGGTCCTGGGCGCCTTCTGGGGCGGAGGGCTAGATTTTTCAGTTCTCGGTTCCCTTCTTGAGCCCCTCTTGGGCCCGTCTTGGGGCCTTTTGGTCCGCCTTGGGCAGCACTTGGGCCGTCTGGGGGGCGCTCTTGGGCCGCTCCAGGGCCGTCTTGGGAGCCTCGTGGGCCGTCTTGGAGCAGTCTTGAAGGCCTCTTGGGCCCTCTTGGAGCGTCCGGAAGCGAAAAGGCCAGAACGCAAAAAAACATCGAAAAAACCACTGAAAATCAACGATTTTGGCAACTTGGGGCCCTCTTCGGAGGCCTCTTGGAAGGCCCTTGGAGATTCTTGGAGGCCTCTTGGGCTGTCTTGGGGCCATCTGGGGCGTCTTCGGGCGATCTTTGGCCGTCTCGGGCCTCTCTTGGACCGTCTAGAAAGCTTCTCGGGGCCCTCTTGGACCGATCTGGAGCCCTCTTGACTCCGAAACAGAACTCCGGCATCTCTGGCCCGACCTTGCCGGGGACTTGCCGGGACCTTGCCGGGGTACTTTTCGTCCGGGGACCCCCAGGGGCCGCCCCGCGCGCGCGAACTAGAAATACTGTTAACCAGGTACCGGAGATCTTAACACGCCCTGGCCCGTTGGGCCGGCGAATTTGTGTGTCCTGGGGCCCCTTCATTATCGTCGTTGGACCCTACCCGGCCACGCGCAGAAGGGGGGAGGGGGACCAGGGGAGGGTTCTCAGAGCCGGCCTCCCTCCGAGAAGCCTTCCCCTCCCCTTCCCCCTGGTGCGTGCGCCAGCTAAACAGTTCTAGGAGAGCCAAAACGCAGAACACAGACTGTCGCCTCCGGGAAATGCGCGGTCCAACGGGCCGGGCGTTCGTCTAGAAATTCTCCGGTACCTGGTAAACAGTATTTCTGTTTCGCGCGCGCGGGGGCGGCCCCTGGGGGTCCCCGTCCGGAAGAAAAGTACCCCGGGGCAGGGGTCTGCAAAGTCCGGCAATAAGGACGGCAATGGTCCGGCAAGGTCGGGTCAGATGCCTGGATGAGTTAGGCCGGAGTTCTGTTTCGGAGTCCAAGAGGGCTCCAGATCGGTCCAAGAGGGCCCCGAGAAGCTTTCTAGACGGTCCACGAGAGGCCCGAGACGGCCAAAGATCGCCCGAAGGCGCCCCAGATGGCCCCAAGACAGCCCAAGAGACCTCCAAGACGCTCCAAGGGCCTTCCAAGAGGCCTCCGAAGAGGGCCCCAAGTCGCCAAAATCGTTGATTTTCACTTGTTTTTTCCATGTTGTTTTTGCGTTCTGGCCTTTTGGTTTCCGGACGCTCCAAGAGGGCCCAAGAGGCCTTCGAGACTGCTCCAAGACGGCCCACGAGGCTCCCAAGACGGCCCCGGAGCGGCCCAAGAGCGCCCCCCAGACGGCCCAAGTGCCGCCCAAGGCGGACCAAGAGGCCCCAAGACGGGCCCAAGAGGGGCTCAAGAAGGGAACCGACAACTGAAAAATCGAGCCCTCCGCCCCAGAAGGCGCCCAGGACCACGAAAGAGGCCCCAAGAGACTCTCCAAGACACCCCCAAGACGCCCCAATAAGCTCCCGTGAGGCCCCAAGAGGACCAACAACGTCAGGCCCCAGGCCCCAAGAGGACCAACAAATACCGCCAAGAGCCCGCCGAAGCCCCCAAAGAGACCGTCCCGAAGAGCTCCGGCGGCCCTGGAGGCCTCCCGAGTTCTCCAAGAGGCCTAAAAAGAGGCGCCAAGAGGCCCCAAACGGCCCCACCGAGGCTCCAAGAGGCCACGAACGCGCAAGCAAACGCCTGCGATGGCACAATACGGGCCGGCGGAATGAGCGAAGCGATTAAATATGGGAACACATGGGAAGTGGGGGGGAGGACAAGA